TCGGGAAAGGAGAAGCAGAGAGAATATGGGCTTTGGATATATCTTGATGTTAGCCTTAATTTGATCACTGAGTAGTTCTGTGACCCCAGGATTCTTGCTGAGTTTTATCTGTCAACGAGAACTGTAAGGCCAGCCATCAAAGGCTCTGTAAAAATTAAATGAGAATATTCAAAGGTCACAGGCCATATTAGTTGTCTAGCCAGTATTAATTTTCTTGGCTCTTGCCTCAGTTTCTTGGCACTTCTTGACACGGACAGACTAGAGGTAACAGCATGGGAAATATTGGGGGCCACGTAAGCAGGGGTTTCATTAAAAAAACAAAAGAAAGCATCACTGCCATGTTGTCAAAGAAGATGTGGACATATGATGTCAGTACGGACTCTGTGGCTGGAACGAGAGAGGGGAGTCTGTGACCTCAGAGCACCCCTCACCAGCTCACCAGCTCGTTGGAAAACCAGTATTCTAGGACTAACAGAAAAGAAAGCTGTAGGCAGATCCCTTATCTCAGAAGACAGTCACCCACAGAGTTCATGAAGTGTAGTCAGAGACCCCCGGATGTAAAAGAAGTTGACAATTGATTGATTGCAATTGATTGATTGAGTCTCACACACACACACACACACACACACACACACACACGCACGCACGCACGCACGCACGCACCCAGACTGCATTCATACCTGGTGCCCTCTGGAGAGGGTGTCAGATGGCTCTCCTGCAAACAGAGGGGTGATTGTGTGCTACCCTGTGGGGGCTGAGAATTGAACCTGACCTGGGCCCTCTGGGAAAGCAGCAAGCGCTCTGACCTGCTGAGCCATCTCTCCAGCTCCTTGTGATGGCTAACCATATTTTGGGTAGGACACAGTACCTAGCTTTGCCTTAGTTTTTCTTTCCTCAAAATACGAGTCTAGTTATTGCCATGAAAATTCTTTTGTTCACTAGTAACATTCAAATTAGTAGATTTAAAAAAAAATTTTTTTTTTGGATGAGGTCTAACTGTGTATCCGGGACAAGCCTTGGGCTTGTGGCTTTCCTGCCTCAGCTCTCCAAATGCTGGGTTGTGACCCCTTTGGCAAACCTCTACCTCCAAAAGTATTTTCATTATGGTTCATAACAGTGGCAAAATTACAGTTGTGAAGCAGCAACGAAAAGAGTTTTGGGGGTCACAGCAGCACGTGGAACTGTATTGGAGGGGGGCAGCTTTGGGAAGGGTGAGACCCGCTGGCTTTAGCGGAAGGTGGATCCTAGGAACATCTTGTTACACACAATCATCTTCCTGTGTCACATTGCCCCCTCACTCCTCTTGCTCAGCAGCCTCTATTGCCAGGCGAGTCTCTTACAACCCAGATCGCATCTCATCCTGCTCTGCTGCTGCCCTTGAAGTTAAGAACCTCTGGACTTTTTGGTTCTCTGCGACAGACTGATGGTTTTTCTTTGTGTGTGTGTGTGTGTGTGTGTGTGTGTGTGTGTGTGTGTGTTTGCAATATTGGCCGGATCTCATCCTGTTTTCTGGTCAATGGGGGAGAGACTGGCAACCGTCTTAGCTCGCTTCAATGCAGCGCCCAGGCTGCCGGCTCCCCTAGTGTTTCCTGGTTTCTCTTAGTCACCTATTTCTTTGTGAAGCTTTCTCTCCTTTCCACCCCCAGCCCCAGCCCCACCCCCAGCTGCCTCTGTCTGAGATTAAGCATCCTTCTTCTCTATCCCTTTCTGCTCTTGGCCAGCAGGAGTGTTACATCCTACTAAGTGGCTGTGTATGCTTGGCTTTTCTTCCCTGTTAGCCTCTGCTGAAGCAACCTAGCCCGGTTCTTTTCTTTACCCATCCTGTGTGACATCATCCTGAACCCACAACAGAACAGACTGTGTGCATTTAAAAAGCCAGTTTTGATGAAGAACAGTATTAAAAAGCAAAGTATAAACACTCGGGTGGTCCCGACTTGAAGTCAATGATTATACTCTCGGTTGTTTTCATATCGCTAAGAAAAAGGTGTCTAGCTGGGAAAGAATCAGGTGTCTTTGTTCTACACTTTGAGACTATCCATGGTGTCTTGGATTCTTAGGTCTGGCTGTAAACTCAGAAGCCCTGCAGTCACCTCCTCCCTGTACAGATGAGGAAGCCAGGGACCAGAGAGGGGTAGTGACTTGTTCAAGATTATCAATGTTTTAAACTAATTTCAAATCCAAGTACACGTTTCCTGATTTGCCAGCCAGCATTATAGTCTGTCACTAATACTATCTTTAATTTTTAAAAATTTGGTATTGTACGTGTGTGGCATATGTGAGGTTTGTGTGTGTGTAGGTGTGTGCGTGATAGAGAGAGAGGTAAGATTCTCTCTCTCTCTGTGTGTGTGTATGTGTGTGAATACGGGCATGTGCATGCTATCGCCAATGTGTGGCGGTCAGAGGACAACTTTCGGGAGTTGGTCCTTTCCTTCCACCATGGGCTCTGAGAACTGAACTTAAGTAGCCAGACTTGTCAGTCAAATGTCCAACTGATAAGTTATCTCAGTGGCCCTAATACTTCTTCTTTTCAAGATAAGACATTGTTTGCAGTTATGTTTAAATTGGAAGGTTTGCCTTTGACTGGACTTGTGCCTTAGGGGTAAGGGAAAGCACGAAGTCACCAGAAGAAAGCCTTTCACCACCTGACTCTGCTCAGTCTTCTCTCATCTTTCCTCTAAGTTTTGAGGCACCATATTTACAGAATCACTCTTTTGCTCCTCCTGATTAAAATAAAAAAAAAAAAACAACCCAAGAGGATCATGGTGGGTCTCATGAGCCATCAATGGCAATGCCTCATTGTGAGTGAGTCCATTAGCTCCCACTTCATACTCATCTTCAGAGGGAGAAGAAAGGTACCACCAGAAGGAAACAGAGTCCAGATGTAAGTTGGGCCTCAAAGGACAAACCTCACTATTCAAGCTTGGGGACTCAGAGGCTGGGCGTGGTGACACATGTCTGGGCTACATTGTGAGGGACTCCGTTTTAAAACATAAAACAAAACAAAAAGGGAAAGAGAGGGCGGGAGGGAGGTTGAGAGAGGGTAAAAGAGAAAGGGAGAAAGAGGGAGAGGGAGAGAGAAAGAGAAGAAGATCAAGAAGAAGAAGAAGGAAGAAGAAGGGGAGGGGGAGAGAGAGAGAGAGAAAGAAAAGGGGGTAACTTCACACCTGGGGCTTGGGTCTTCCTCTCTGGATAGAGGACGTTTTTGTCTTGCCTTCCATTTAGTACATGGTATTCGTGGCTGGCTTGTGACTGTCTGAGACCCCTTATAGTATTCTCTCTCACACTGCTTCCCTCACATATGGTAAGTTTTTTTTACCTGACAGTACTAGAAAGGAAGTAGGTAAGATGAGGCGAATTACATCAGGGTCAAGCCTTAGAGAGCAGAGAAACTGCTGTGCACACCAAGAGTGATGGCGCCGTTGGCCGGCTGGGTGCCTCACTAGCCTTCCTGAGTCCCACCCTATGGAGGGACTCTTCCCAGTGACCCAGCTCATCCAAGACTGACTGCCTTCAGTTACTCAACACCCTGGGGGGCCTCTTCGCTCTTAGAGGTTCTGGTTTTCAGAGGTTAAAAGTGCATTTCTTTTTCTTGTGCCTTCATTAAGTTTGTTTTCTTGTGTGAAGCTGTTCGTATCCAGGGTGTTGACACTTGCAGACACACTGAGTAAGCTTAAATAAAAACAACCACTCACTAAACAAACCAAAGCTCAAAGCCAGGCGCGGCTCATCTGCCAGTCATGAGCCTGTCTTTTCGAGTTCATTACCTCTTTTCCTTACTCAAATTTCTTGAACCAGAGAATATACAAACTACACCTCAAACTCATGCCAGAGAAATTTGGATTAAGAAAATGGGAGGGAGCAAGGTGTGTGTGTGTGGGGGGGGTGTTGGGAAGAGGGAGAGAAAGAGAGAGATAAATCCAAGACCCTCCTTATAGCTGTGACCTTTGTCTCAGTCAGGCAGCCCTGGCTACCATGCTTACAGGCAGCCTGCGGAGCCATCAGGATTCAGAGGAGGGCACAGTAGATTCTGGGGCTGATTTACGCCACGGTTCCAAATGTGCGAAAGAGTGAGAAAAAAAAAAAAAAGAAAAATTAACGTTTCATTTACTATTTTTGCCTAACTTCTCTTGCTATCTGAATGCTTACGAGTCTTTCTAGGTAGTTAAAAAATATAGGAAAGTTGATTTTTTTTTTAAAGCCTAGTACAGCAGAAAGCAAAATAGTGTACTGGAAATAAACAAACAAAAAGCATATTTTGTATCTACTGGGAAGATTAATCAAAAGGAGGACTACTTCTTCACGGAACTAGAAAAAGTACAGCATCTATGTTAGATACATAAACAACATAACACACAGGCATGACACTCATAGCTCTCTTCCCTGCTGGGCTTATCAATTTTACTCAGCAAGAAATGGTCCAAAGGAATCGCCTTGACCTATATATAAACCCTAAACTTAATAAAAAAATTATAAATGCTCTTAAAAACGCCCAAAGTCACCGAGAAACGAAAACTTAGGCTTATAACCATGATCATGAAAGCATAAATATCCAATAATACTAGTGTTACTTGAAACAGTTGGTTTGTGTAAAAATACATGTGTTTAGAACAAGCAGATCCTGGTGGATCAACTCATTGGCAAACAGTTAAAGTGGCCTTGATTAGATAAAACTAATTTGTCGACTTACTCCAGCCCACACCCTGTGTAAGTAGAACTGTTTGCAGGGAAAACCCTCGAAGAAGCCGCCCCACAGAGCCTCTCTAATGGCTTGTCAGACCAAATGATTTCTGACAAGAACAGGAAACTTGGTCAGGCAAAGGGACAGATAATTAGCCAAAGGGCACCTCCCAGGAGAGTTTAAGATCTCAAGCTACAAAAGGGACAGACTCTAACCATTAGACTGTCTAGCTCCCTTTCATCAAAATGTCTAGCCCCATTTCCTTGCACCCACAAGAGCACAGAGAGCGCGGTGGGCTCCCCTGAGAAGTTTCTGTACTCACACTGGCTGCTTGGTCTCTTCTCCCTTCTCTCCCAGGCGCTGAGCCAACTCACTCTGCAGTCTGCACCAGCTCAGGGTGCTTTTCTACCTCACTGCATTCCCTGAAGCTCCAGTCCCAGGGAAGGGGGCGTCTGTGATTGGGAGGAGACATCTCACATCTCACAGCTCACGTGGGCCGTGCCTGATGCTGCCTGAACCTGCCTGGCTGAGCAGGAAACACTTCGGACAGAGTTCTGCTGCTTTGGAATGTACATCTCCACATCTCCGATGCAGGGTTCAGCTTTTTCTCTTCAAATACAAACAGGGTCTTTGTGTTTAGTTGATGTTCCTTCGATTTTTCAGATCATTAACTACTAAGCCTTTGCGTGGTAAAGAAGCCTGTTCAGTCTCCCTTCTCTATTTACTTACGCAGGGCCAGGTTCAGTTTTGTAACCACAGGCTGTATTCACAGAGACGGTAAATGCTTAAGTAATATCCATACAGTGAGCGGTTCAGCAACTAATAAGGAGAAGAAAGTTAGAAACATAGATGGAGAAATGCAGACAAATGACAGGATCAAGTAGGTTGTTTTTGTTTGTTTGTTTGTTTTTCTGATGTCTAACTAGGTCCTCCCTTTCTCTTTACCCCTGCCTTTAGGGCCACTGGGAATCACATAGACACAGCATGAAGAGTATTGTTTTCAATGGACAGATAACAGCGCATGGTTAGTTTACCTGGTGCTGAGGGGTAGGAAAGGCAGTAATATCAGAAGGGGCTGAGCACTTTAATCATCAGACTTGGGAGCAAAGGCTCTTTTTACTCAACGGACAGAGTTAGCATGCAGTGTGCCTATTAGGGCATGGCCTGAGGTCCATGCCCATAGAAACTCGAGCACAGTATGGGTGAAACAGCCTCAGGCCACACCCTAGCAGATTTGAGGATGGCCTGTCTGAGCTCTGCACTGGGGATCTCCATGATCTGAGTCTTTAGGCGAGGGCCACTTCAAGGAGCAGATTTTGATAGCTGAGGTCAATTCCCGAGCAAGGCTGACAATGGAAGGCAATTAGTCTTTGATAGAGGACAGCATGGAATGTCCCAGTCTCTCTTGATGCCTTCTAATTCTTCTTTCTCTCCTCCTCCTTCTCCTCCTTCTTCAATGTTCCAGAGTCTGCTTAGATTAATTAGGACAATTCACACAATAGAACTCTACACAACGGTTAAAAATGAAGCCACACAAAAACAGTTCCATGGAAATACATTTAGTCATTTATTCAACAAATGGTTATGAAAACTCATGTTGTGTCAGGACCAATTCTTGAAGCTAAAGATGAAAAACAACAAATTACAACACAACAGAACAGCTCAGCTTGCAAAGCGTTGTCTGATTTGATACAACTTTTAAAAAAATATATGAATTTCAACTTTAGGAAGAATACTCAGCAAATATGAACTGGAATTCATTTAGGTGGTAAAGTATAGGTGACTTTACTACTTATTATTTTTGGCAGTTCATATCCTTACAGCACTGAGATTACAACTTCACAAAGAGAAATATGCGTCATTAAAAAAGTGCTCCCTGTAAGCACAACTGAAAGAGCAAAGACTCATTTTTGGTATATATATACACACACACACACATACTTGGGAGTGAAGGTCTTGGGAGTAGAATATAGGAATATATTCCAGGCCTTTTGTGTTCTACTCCCAAGACCTTGTGGAGAGAAAATGAAGAGATCTGGGGGGTTGGAGCAATGACTCAAGAGCACTTGCTGCTCTGCCAGAAGGACCTGACTTCAACTCCCAGCACCCACTTCACTGGGTCATAGCTGCCTGCAACTCCAACACTGATGCTCTCTTCTGGTCTTTGAAGAACACACATATGCTAGTGTGTGTGTGTGTGTGTGTGTGTGTGTGTGTGTGTGTAATTAAATAAAACCTTCACAGATTTGAAAATCTTTTCAGAATAGTCAGGGAAACACAAAACCCAGTAACAGGAGCTCAGGAGGAGGCAGATTAGTTTTCAGATATGTGCAATTGATGATACGTGGAATCTGTAATCCTTAACGTGAAAGTATGACAGATTAATTGTTCCAGGAACTAATTTCTAACTCTGTTTTGCTAAACCTTTCTTTCCCCCTGGCTAGGTACTGCCCTTAACCTTACCTTAACTTGACAAAAAGAATTATCCTGTGAATTCCCATTGCCAAGCAAACAAGCAAACAACCCTCCCAAAAAAAAACCCAAAACAAAACAAAACAAAGAAAAATTTGTTTTGATTTTTTTTTTTCATCTTACCATGATTTAGACCAGAGACCCCAGTGGTTGTGGAAGATCGGGGAAGATATGGAGTTCCCTGTATAAGAGTCTCCTAAGAGAGGAACCAGGCCGTCAGGTTATGTGACTCAGCCAGCAGAGGCTGCTGGGTCTCTCTGTCGTTCACCAGATGGGGCGTCTTACAGAACGCTCACAGCCAAACTGGCTCCCACGGGCACCAGAGGTGTTCTGCCCACTCCACGGCTTTGCAGCCAGTCTGTGACCTGAGATTTCATCTAGACTCCCATTCTCAAGCCAACTCCATCCTCTGCATACCCAATCGGTGGCTGCCCTCCCTTCCTGACCAAACCACGGCACTGTCGACTTTCCACTTTGTGTGTGAAGTAAGCCTGGTCACACAAATCTCCAAAGCCCCCCGGGTGGGGGGGATCATTTTCTTCAGCTAGTCTTGAGCTTTGGTGAAGATTTTCTTGAAATGCATAAACTCAGGTGTTTTGAGTTTTAATGGGCACACCTTCCTATTCAGCAATCAGAATTCAAAGTTGGTGGTCATTCCTATATCCCCGTCAGCTCTGAGAGATGAGGATAAATGCTTAATTAAGCTCATGTTTACACGATAGTAGCTACGTCAACATGGCTTCTAAATGCTCACCTACACATTTCCCAGAAAAGGGATATCTCAGTGTGAATAGATCTTTACTTTGGAAGGGATTGTGGGGGCATTTAATGCTCATTTATGGTTTTGATATGTAACTCTACATGGACTAACCATGCTCTAATAAAATAACCCCTCAGCCCAATTTTCTGTCCCGTGAAGGAAACCCTATGTAACAGATGTCTACTATTAAGAGGGCATGCTCTGAAACTTGGTTTATTGTATAGAGCAATACACTAGTCCCCAAGACTCCCTGTGCGTCTCCCAATGTTTGGCAGTGAGTCTCAGTATCTGTTTGAGGCGCTGCTGAGTAGAGCCTCTCAGAGGACAGCTCTGTCAGGCTCCTGTCTGCAAGCTTAGCAGAGTATCATTCATAGTGTCAGGTGTCGGCACTCTCCCATAGGGTGGGTCTTTGGTTGGGCCAGGCATCGGTTGGGCATCCCTTTCATCTCTGAGAGGACGTCCTCTAACTAGACTAGTCTTCTAGTAAAGGGTGGGAACCATCAACCCACCGCAAAACCTTCAACCCAAAATTCACCTTGCCTTCGAGCTGGGCAGGGGGAAAGATGCTTTGTTCTCCTCTATCCACTATTGAGCTACTGCCTCTCACCGACCCTCCTGCCCTCCAAGAGGGCTCCTTCTGCTTCCGTGTCTCCTGTGTCCATTATCCCTCCCATCGCTTCTTCCCTTACGAGTTTGTCTTCCCCTCTTATGGTCCCCAGTTTCATAACTCACCCTCTCCCTCCCCTAACACCACTTCACGCACACCACATATAACACACACACACACACACACACACACACACACACACACACACACACACATTCCCTGCACACTTTCTATATATGAGAGGAAACATTCAATATTTGTCTTTCTGCATCTGGTGTATCCCACCAATATGATTTCCAGTTCTGCTCTTTTTCCTGAAAGTGCCACGGTTCCCCTTTCTTTACAATGGCTTCACTTTCCGCAGCACTTAGGTGCCTTGTTTACTCGCCAGTCAGTGAACATCTAGGTTCAATCCTTTTCCCAACATTGTGGATGGAGCTCGTGGCTGCGCAAGTCTCCCTGTGGCCTGCGGTTTGCTGGCTCGGCTTCCTTCTTTCTAACACCCCAGGAGTGGTGTATTCTGGGCAATATGGCAGCGCTGCTTTTCATTATTTGAGCAGTGTCCATGCTCATTTGCGCGGTAGCTGCCGTGGCCCTACATTCCCAGCACCCGTGCATAGGGGCTTTGCCTTCCTCTCCTTCTTGCTAGAATTTGCTGTTTGTTTTGCTTTTCCCCCTAGAGAACTTTCTATTCCTTGGCCACCAGAGTTTGAAGAACAATTCAATTCGATTTTTGTCCTTTCTTAATTTGATATTTGATATGTATGGCTTTATATAAAATCTTGGAACTAAAAATTTTGATTTTTTTGTAATTAGACATTGGATGTGGAGATTTCTGCAACAGTTTAAAATCTATCCTTTAGTTAAACAGTCCCAGAAATGATTCAAGAAAATAAGTCAAGCTTCCTTTTCTCCTTGAGCAGTAGCTCCCTTGGCACTCAGCATAAGGCCTGCCATTCCCACTGTCTGTGCCTTCAATGGCGCCCATGTGCTTTTGTCCGCCATCCAGGTGCCACTGTAACCTGGAAGCCTCCTCCTCCTGGCTGCTGCCAGGCTGAGTCCTCACCATTCTTCAGCTGGCTGCATCTGGGCTTTCACAATGGTCGAGGAACCCTTCCCAGCTGATCTCATGCCCCTAGAAGCGCCTAACATGTCCAGCGTTCCCGGCTAACATTACTTTCTTTTATATCGCCTTGTTTAATTTCCTTTTATAAAAAAACAAAACAAAACCAGAGAGTGTGGCTGGAGAGACGGCCCAGCAGCTGAGAGGGCTTCCTGTGTTTAATTTCTAGCATCCACACCTGGTGACTCCCAAATGACTGCCTGTAACTCCTGCTCTAGAGGATCTGACACCTTCTACTGGCCTCCACAGACCCCTGCATTCACACACACACACACACACACACACACACACACACACACACACACACGCATCAGGAAAAAGAACAGAAGCCTGATATTGCCTTTTGTGTTTGTTACTTGCCCACACTGCCTCATACCAGAGTAGTGTTGAATGAGAAAAC